GGCGGCCACACCTGGGAAAAGGCTTCCTCTTGTGGCTGCAGCACCTGACCTCCTCCAGGTCTCTGTGCTCTCCTTCAGGGTCTTTCCCCACAACAAATCTAGACAGATCAGAAAACCACTTCTAGAATCCCATCGTTAAACGTTGTTCCTTGAAACCACTTCTGTTAAGAACATCTCCATTAGGTTTGCATCATTAAAACAGATTTGACAAATTTGACACTGTAACGGATTTATTAGACTGTATGCATATGTGGGAGGAGCTAAGGAAGAGAAGGTTTGGAGGAGAGAAGTCAGAAGGTGAAGGAGCCAGTCAGTAGCCAGGGCTTCTGGAGGTCTGGGTAGGACAGGCTGGAGATGCAGGGACATGAGAGGATCAGAGCATGCCAAGCCATGCAGTGGGACCTTGAGCTGGGAGGACAGGAAAAGGCCAAGGAAACCTGCTTCTGGGGAAGCTGTTCCCACTCTATGGTGGCCACCCCTGCAGGTGCACTGCCAAACACTGGGGACAGCCTGGCTGCTGTTGGCCAGCATTTGGGAAGATGAACTGGACACAGGGTGCAGAAGGAATAGGACTTCCTAGGTCTGTTGGATGCCTCTGTATTTGCTGGTCACTGACTCTCAGTCTGACCACAATGACCTGCCTAGTGTAATAGTGACTGTATTACATCTAACAAATTTTACCTAATGTATCTTTGACCATCTCTAACCCAGAATGATTAGAGAAATGGCCTTCTTATCTTGCCTTTGCAAAATTGACTTAATACAATCCACCACAGGATGGATTCTCCCAGACTGAGGCATCTGATCACACAACTGTCTCAACCTTCCACAGTCCCTGGACTCCTCTCCGGGGCACACCTGCGCTGCCTAGGTGAATGTGGACACAATTTATATGTAGATGTTCCAGACTCTGGCTACTAACTTTTCTTTAGTCCTGTGCCTATAGTCTCCCTCCACCTAGAGGCAGGGCTCGATCTCCTTCTATCTCTTTCCTGAGCTTCCCTCCTGATGGAGTTGCAAGGACATCAAAGCCCTGGACACAGTGCAGTGACCTGTGGAGACAGCGGGAGGGAATCTCATCTCTTGTTGCCTTCCTGGACCCATTTCTTTTATAAGTGAAGCAAGTGCTCCTGTGGGGAAAAGAAAGAGAGATCAGACTGTTACTGTGTCTATATAGAAAGAAGTAGACATAAGAGATTCCATTTTGTTCTGTATTTGAGATGCTGTTAATCTGTAACCCTACCCCCAACCTTGTCCTTGCAAGAGACATGTACTGTGGTGACTCAAGGTTTAATGGATTTGGGGCTATGCAGGGTGTGCTTTGGTAAACAAGTGCCTGAAGGCAGTATGCTGGTTAAAAGTCATCACCATTCTCTTAATCTCAAGTACCCAGGGACACATACACTGTGGAAGGTCACAGGGACCTCTGCCTAGGAAAGCTAGGTATTGTCCAAGGTTTCTCCCCATGCGACACTCTGAAACATGGCCTCATGGGAAGGGAAAGACCTGATCATCCCCCAGCCTGACACCTGTGAAGGGTCTGTGCTGAGGAGGATTAATATAAGAGCGTTTGTTTCTTCAAGCTCATTTGTCAGTTGAGATAGAGAAAAGCATCTGTCTCCTGCCCGTCCCTGGGCAATAGAACATCTTGGTGTAAAACCCGATTGTATGTTCTATTTACTGAGAAGGCAGAAAACCGCCTTAGGGCTGAAGATGGGACATGCCAGCGGCAGTGCTGCTCTTTATGCACTAAAAAGGTTTATGGAGATGCTTGCATATGCATATCGAGGTACAGCACTTTTCTTAAACGTATTCATGTCACAGAGATCTTTATTCATATGTCTTACTGCTGACCTTCTCTCTACTATGATCCTATTATCCTGCCACTTCCCTTTTCTAAGATGGCAAAGATAATGATCAATAAATACTGAGGGAACTCAGAGACTGGGTGCCAGTGTGGGTCCTCTGTATGCTGAGTGCTTGTCCCCTGGGCCCACTTTTTCTTTCTCTATACTTTGTCTCTGTGTCTCATTTCTTTTCTCCAGTCTCTCGTTCCACCTAACGAGAAACGCCTACAGGTGTGGAGGGGCAGGCCACCCCTTCATGCTCTGGTCTCCCTTTGAGCTCTGCAGTATGAGAAATGTGCTTCATGAATTTGTAGCTGAGCAGCTCAAAGATTTGATGGCAAACCCAAAGTGAAATCCTCAGATCTGCAGAAACGGCTCTGCATTTCTGTGAAGACAGAAAGAATACTGTGTAGTAGAGATGCCTTCTCTCCATGTAGAGACCTGGCGCCCAAACAGGACAGAGCAGAGAGGGTCAAAGAGCCCAAAACATGTCTCAGATGGTTGAAAGACAATTTCACAGGACAATCCTGCTGATGACATTTGGTCTTTCATATTACACACCTAACTACCCTTCTCCCCAGATCAGCTGAGTACCCAGGATATCACACATCTCAGCATCTTCTAACAAGGAAAAATCTTTGCGTAACAGCCTCCTTCCTGAACCATATTGACTAGCCTTGGAAACTTAGCCTTTCCAGAAAAAAGCTCTGTCTTCTCCTGGCCCAGTCTAGCCCAGTAGGCTTAATTGACGATTTATGTCACCTTTTAATTTACTCAGAGAAGAACATATGATTTCAGAGTAAAGAATATTCATTTTACTTTGTATAAGTTGGACCTAAACAGTAAACTGAGTACTTTTCTTCCATCAGTGTCTTAAATCGGACAATGGTAAAACAAATCTTTGATGCTAGAAATTTAGGCCCTAGTATTTTTCATATTGAAGTTGCCAGTGTCCTGGGCACAGAATAGATGGGCGTTAATAAGTCACACTATGCCAGAGATGGTTTTCTATAGGTTTATAGACTAGTATTCTCCCATTGAGGAAGCATAAGAGCGTTTGCTTCTTCAAGCTCATTTGTCAGTTTGTATGGGAATTTCCAGTTTGAAATAAGTTATGCTTTTAAATTTGAAAGAGTGTGAAGTCAGGCCGGGTGCGGTGACTCATGCCTGTAATCCCAGCACTTTGGGAGCCCGAGGCAGGCTGATCACAAGGTCCACCTGGCCAATATGGTGAAACCCTGTCTCTACTAAAAATACAAAAAAATTAGCCAGGCGTGGTGGCGGCACCTGTAGTCCCAGCTACTTGGGAGGCTGAGCCAGGAGAATCGCTTGAACCTGGGAGGTGGAGGTTAATATGAACCAAGATCACGACAGTGCACTCCAACCTGGACAACATAACAAGATTCTGTCTAAAAAAAAAAAAAAAAGAAAGAGTCTGAAGTCTGCAAATATAATATAATTCCAATATCTCCAATATCTAAGTTATTTTTTGAAGTTTTGGATTTCAGAAAAAAAAGGAAAGAAGTAGGGATATCCATAGGTTTGGCTATTTTTATATTTAAGATCTATGTGTATATATGTGTGTATGTATATATATGTGCACACACATACATACAAATGTATACACACACAGAGATGCGTGTGTGTGTGTGTATGTGTGTGTGTGTGTGTAATATCCCTTGGAAGAAAATGTCATGATGACTACATGGCTTAATGGGATTTATTAATGAGGAGAGTTTTTCTAAAAAGAATTAGAAAATTTGAATTCTATTCTAAATCTTTACTTGGGACTTCCCAGAGAGCATTTCTGACCCTACCAACCTACGTTGTGGGTGTATTTGGCAGCCCGGAGTGCAGCAGACAGTTCTTGGGCCCGTACCTTTGCGAGTTAGCCTGGAGATGCCTGTACACATGACAGACTCTTGGTGTTGTTCACTCTCAGTCCGGTCCTCTCTGGAATGTCACAGACGACCATCGAACAAACAGATTCCCAGTAAGAAGAATATTAGGACATAGCCATGAGGAAACATGAACACAAACAACAAATGTTTGAAGTGCAAACCCGAAGACTGGAAATTTTGGCATTATAAGATATGAAAGTTTGGAGAGCTACATTTAAATGAACACGAGGGGAAACTGAAACAAGAAAAAAGAGAATGTCTGAAACCATCAAGTAACTTTCATAAAAATTGTCAAATAATATATCTAGAAATGCCTCATACAATCACTGAAAACAAAATGGAAAGTCAAACAGTTGATCAGCTCCTCCTAAAGAGATTTTTAGTGATGTCAAAGTTGGATCTGCAGGAGTGATCTGGAATGCAGCATGGAAAATTAAAAGTGAAATATGAAAGACAATAAGAACAGGGAAGAAAAAAATGGATATTTCCCATATATTAGAATATGCATATTTTTCATTATTTCCCATTTTTTCTTGCATATGATTGCAGTTCCAAACAGATAAAATAGGTAGAATGTTATGAGGTGAGATTTATGAGATGTTAGCTGACAATTCTTTAGAGGTGTTTAAGGACCCAAATTCAGAGTTTCCAGAATCAAAATGAATCTCAAGTAAGACAAATAGTCAAGTCATAGGGAAATTGTAGAACATGAGATACAAAGGGAAGACTTTGAAAGCAATCAGAAAGAAAAGAGAAATACCTCCCACAAGAATAGATGGAGAACAAGAGTAAGTCAAGATAGTGGTTAAAAATAACAATTAGCTCAATTGTCATTCTCCTTCCTTTAAGGTAACATTGATTGAAAATACTTATTTAAGTGGAATATGAAAAAAGACCGCTGTGAGTTTCTATCAAGGTACCTTTTCTGAATTACAGTTAACAAAGGTGGGAAGTGATCCCAGAAGAAAGGCATGAGGGCAGTTCGTGAGGGAACCCATGCGATGGAACAGTCCCGTTGGGCACGTGTGACTGGAGGAATGAGGGAGGCTGGGTCATGAATGTGGATGGCACAGGAGACCTTGACTTGCAGGAAAGACAATGAGCTCACCCCTTTGTGCCCTATGTTAGGGACAGTGTTGGTGCATCCTACAGGACATGCCCAGCAGACAGAAGAGCAGCTGTGGGATGAGAAGATGAACTCAGAGATGCAGTGTGAGGCCTCTGGGTCCAGACAGCTCTGGAGGCCAAAGCGATGAGCCATGCATTGATGTTAAAATGGAGCTTATAAATATTTAAAGCCTCACCCAAGTGTGTTTTACTATAAATGCTGTGACCCTGATGTCCTGGGGATTGAGAGAGGAAGTGATGTCACTGTGGGAACTGCCCTCTGGGGACAAGGACTTCCATCATCCTCTGCTCTTGCTCACAGTGACTCTGATCTGGTAACGCCCCCATCCTGGTCTGACCCTGCCATGGGCACCAGGCTCCTCTGCTGGGTGGTCCTGGGTTTCCTAGGGACAGGTGAGTCCTCAGAACACCAAGTAGTTTCATTTAATTTCTGTGTGTAGGCGTGTGTGTGTGATGACTACAAATGTTTTCCTTATTCTGTTGCCAAATTCTACTTCCACAGATCACACAGGTGCTGGAGTCTCACAGTTCCCAAGATACAGAGTCACAAAGAGGGGACAGGATGTAACTCTCAGGTGTGATCCAATTTCGGGTCATGAGTACCTTTACTGGTACCAACAGGCCCCGGGGCAGGGCCCAGAGCTTCTGACTTACTTCCAGAATGATGCTCAACTAGACAAATCAGGGCTGCCCAGTGATCGCTTCTCTGCAGAGAGGACTGAGGGATCCGTCTCCACTCTGAAGATCCAGCGCACAGAGCAGGGGGACTCAGCTGTGTATCTCTGTGCCAGCAGCTTAGCCACAGCGTGGCACAGTCACCTCCTTCCTGTTCACAAACCTCGTCCTTCTCTCTCCTTGCAGCTACTAGAGACCCTTAACAGAGGCCTCTCTTTAATCCTCACATTTCATGGGAAAGAAGTAGATTTGGACATCGGCTGTCCTTTGGGTAGAAAGAGACCACAGATTCATTCTTGAAACACAGTGACCGCAAATGTAGGTGGTGAAAACAATCACGGCCCACTGCACTCTAGGAGTCCTTGGAGCCAGCTCACTTCTTCAAGTGGGTGTCTTAGCCTTGGCCTTCAGGGCAGACATACACCTTCTAAAGGTATTGGAGGCTGCTGTGTTGCCCACATACATGAGGTTGACAAGGGCAGAAAACATGCCTCTTCTTCATATGTTGGGACATCTGGCATTTGGAAGGTCTAAGGCTACATCCCCAGGAAGATCTTTCTTCTGAAGCCCCTTCTATCCCTGTCACCTTGGAAGTTTCTGCAACAAAATATCAAACATCTCTTCCTATTTGAAGTAAAGGTCTTTTCAACTTTTGTGATCCTTATTTGATAAATACAATCATGATAACAATATGACTTCATTTCTTCTGCCTACTTTAAGCCACCTGTATCCTTTATTTTGTTTCCATTTGCCATTGCTGCTGTCCTGATAGACAGAAGCATGCATTCACCACTGCTGCTGGTTCACCTTGACTCGCTCAGGAAATCTAGTTTCTAGACTCTGAGTATTTTCACTGCTGTCCAACTCACTTGATTTGAAATAATTTTCCTGAGGTCTTTAACTCAATAAGTGTTTTATTTATAATATCGATCCTATTCCTTTTTATTTTATTTATCATATTATAAATTGTTATATAGTACTTGTTATAAATAGAAGTACAATGATTATATTGCCATAGAATCTTCCACCTGTCTGTGGGTGATGCTGCAGTTTGTATCTATGAAATCGAATGCACTGGTCAGAGCTGATGTGATTACAGATCATGGATTCCTGAGAGTCCTCGACATCAGACCACTTCTCCAAGTGTGGGACTCAGTGTCCCAGACGCAGCCATGAAAGAGGGGCCCTGAGACTTTCATATCTAGGTAAGGCATTGTAGTCCTTCCAAATTCACTGACCAGAAATTGTGGTGGTACAGACACCAAATTTCTTTCCCCAAAGAATGATGGTCTCCGGGAGGGAGTTTCTCTGGACCCATCTTTATTGTGCCATCATGAAATCCCTCCTTGCTCAGGTGCCCTGTCTCTTCTGGGACTGAGTAAGGCCAGGGCAAAGATTGGAATTCCCTGTCTTCCTAGACCTTTTCTCTAACTGCTGCCACCTTCCTCCATGTGACTCCTGAGACACCTGGTCCTAACAGTGGACAAGCTCTGACACTAGGGCTGAACAGAACACCGTCCACAGTTCTAAACGGTGCTGCAAGAACATGTTACAAAAGCAAGCAGGGCTTCCAATTTATACTGAGAATGAATATGCAAGAGGAGCAAGGAGCAGACGTTACTAATGAACAAATAGGAAGGAATAGGGTTTCTACTCTAAAGGAATCATTCTGTTGTCTTAAGGTAAGTAGGAGAAACATTTCATTGCAATTACTTCAAGTAAAAGGCAAGCCGCTGCCAACCAACCAGCGTAATTCTTTGCTCTGTGATCTTGGCTGCTTCAGAGGACTCAGAGACCATTTCTCTGCACAAACGTCCCTTTGTCCATTCCAAGACCCAGGATCACACACTCTGATCCTATCATGAAAATAATCAGGTGTGCTATAGTTGCTGTGGCCTCATTTTTAGTGTGTTGAGTAGGAAGCATTGAAGAACTTTGAAAGCTTTGCTCTTGAGTCTAGGGATGTGCTGGAGTCAACTTGTATGACTCAGAAGAACCATATAGGCATAACTGTCACAGCTCCCTATTCAGTGAAGCCATGCTGGGAGATTGAAGTCTGCAATGGTGGGGATGCTGGGACAACCAAAATTAGGAAATGCTACCAGCCATGCCCCCACCTTCACAGACACCCAGTTTAGCAGCACATCACTGGAGTATTTTCTGATGTCCCTGTTATGCCATGTCTTGTGGGGCCAAAAGGGCTCTGAATTCACCTCCCCTCTGCTCTTGTTCTTAGAAGCCATCATCTAAGTGCTCCTCAATTTTTCCTATTTCTATTCAACTCCCAAATTCTCTTGCTCTTTAGCTCTGTGTTTCCTACAAGCATGCCAGTCTGGAACATGGCATGTATTTTGAATGTAATTAATGGTATCACTGAACCAGTTCATTATTCACAAATTATCTTTCCTCACATGGAATATTCAGATGCTGGAGTCATTGGGAACAGAGAAGGCCAAGTAGCAACTCTAGGTTATGAACCACGTACAGCCCCACTATTCTTCTGTGGCAATGACAGGCATTATAATAAGGACTATTTTGCTTTGGAAACTAAGCAGGTCCACACCAGTTAGGAATGATTCTGCTTTTACTTTAGGCTGAGAGATCAGAAGGATCACAACATAAGTATTCTCCTCTCGAAGACTAACACTCTCCATCTCAGTCCCTGGATGTTGTCCAGAGCTCCCTGAGAATCCCTGCTCTGGGGGCAGAATCACCAAAGTTCATCCTCACCAGCTCCCCACAGACTCCAGCAGGGCTTTCCTGCCAGGTGCAGGGCACAGGAATGGCTCTGCCTGTCTCTTAGTTAGAAGGAGACCGTAAAATAATGTTTGTATAAGAGGGACTGGAATTCTGGGTCTCCTTTAAGATATTTGACAAAATTTTCTTTGTTGTTTTATTTTGCCATCTCACCAATGAGGAGAGCAATCCCTTGGTAGTTATATTGTTTTTGGCACTTGGAAAGGTTTTTGTGGTTAAGTCACGTTAAGAAATTGTGCATTTTTTTCCTGTTCAGCTATAACCCAAGGCAGTGAAAAAACCAGCAAGAATTTTGAAGGCAGTCACTTCTGCATCCTATGATAAAGGTGTTACGTTTCATTGCCCACAGCTAACTTTCAGTCTAGTGGAAATGAAAAGGCACAGTTAGGGGGCATGTGAGCATGCCATGAGAGAGGTCGATACAATTAAGAAGTCTGTGCCAATCCCTAATACTGTGGGATTGAAGGGGAGGGAGAGATGACCTCTCCTTCAGACCGTGCTGAACAAGGAGGGAGAGGGAGCTCACCCATGGAAAGCTGAGGAGGAGCAAATCCCAGGGGCATCTAACTCAGGGTGCAGCAGCAAAGCCTTGGAAAGGAAAATGGCCCAGTTCAGCTGTCACAGGAGACAGGAGAAAGCAAAGTCATGTAATCCATAGTCCCCTGGCTGATTTGCTTCCTTATTACACTATTTTGCACCAGCATGTCCTTGTCTCCCATTGCTCCTCTGCCTCGGCCAGAATCATCTTTTCTTTGTTTTTTTGCTCAGATTAGTGGATGCGCATTGTACAAGCTGATCAGTTCCTGTAGCAACCCCTTTGCTAGTCTTGGTTATATCCATCTTTATTTTCTGCATTAGGTACTGCTCCTGCCACCATTGCTTATTGCCTTGTAGGAAGTCTCTTTTTATATAATTCAATTTTACTTTTTATTAAGAAACATTTGACTTCACCTTTTGGAGATCTATGCTTTTGGGGTAACATTGTCATTTTTGGAGGACATTTTTGTTTATTTTTAGTGATTCAGATGAAATAATCTCTTTATACTTCAACGTCTGTGTTTTCTTCCTATTTTAAGTCAAGTATTATTTCCTTTCATTCCTCTTTCTTTAGATGGTAGTTTTAAGGGAGAAAAAGTCTATAACTGGAGCTATATGATAAATGTTATTCAGAATGAGGTGAGATATTAAGCTTGGTAACTCAAAACAATAGTCTGGGTTAGAACTAATGTTGGAATTAGGGTTTAGGGAAGCCGCTCATAAAACCTGCTGGATGGAACTTCCGGAATATTCTCCCAGCTCACTCTGCAGACACTTCCCATTCTTCTTGGGCCATTGAGAAGAAATAATGATGAAACTTCACTTACTGGCCACAAGATGGCACTGTGGTCCACTGGGATCTAAAGGGCCCTGGGGAGCCCGGGAGAGCGCTTAAGAGGGAAAGGGTTAAGAAAAATTAGGTCTTGGATCCCATGTTATGCAGATGTTGCAGTAGTTTTCAGTTATTGCTAGGCTAGGCTACCTACAGCTATGCAAGACTGGGGAAGTCCCTCTAATCTTTAATGAGATCTACAGTTGAGGAATTTTGGCCTGGTAGCCTTGATGCAGGTGCAGAGGAGCAACTGCCTCAGCAGAATAGGGAAAAGCGAGGGTGGACTGTGCCCTGAGCCCAGTGCGTCTCTGCTGCACCTTATCGTCCCTGCAGGTCTGGCCAGGCAACAGCTTTAACCTGTTTGAGTGATCTGGGATTCTGCGAGTTTATAAGTCATACTGATAACATCACCTTGGCTGAGATTCCATTGGACACCAGGCACGTGTTCTCTGCAGAAAAAAAAATATTGAGAACAAGTTCTAAAACACCTAAGTAAACAAACTACTGAAAGGCAATGTTAGTAGATGCACCAAACCGTTAGTAGATGCACCAAACCGTGCTGTTAGACGTGAAGATAATCTACTAGTAAAATTATCGCAAAGAGACTATAAATTAAGTCTCTAGTAAGTATTTGTGGGCATAGAACAGTGTTTGAGTCCTCTCAGTGTAGATTAAGGAAGGAATTCAGCTATTATCTTGACTTTGGCTTGGATGAAAATCCATGAACTCCTCAACTGATTTTCTTGTAATATAGTACAGAATAATACTGAGCAAACATTTTATTTTTCTCCAGCCTGTATCCCTCCTTGGCACTAACAGGTAAAGCGGACACCTAGAGGCAAGGTTTCTTTAGTTGGGATCCATTAACTGCGAGACTGTGAGGTCCATAGCTGGACTTTACAGGGAGTGCAAACCCCACGTGCAGGGATCCCCACATGTCTGTGTTGTGCCCAACTCCCCTCTGTGAGGCTGCCAAAGGGGGAGGCCCAGGTCACCCAGGACCCCACTCACAAAGTGGGGAACTGGCCTCTTGCTTGGCAAAAAAAAAAATCAATTCACCAACTGGCCCATCTATTGAAAGCCAAAATGAAAGGAAAGTCTCAGTTGTGAGAGTGATGGATGCCCAGTTTCCCAAGTTGTGAAATGTATAGGAGCTCATGGTTCTCAGAATGATTTCAACAGCATATAAAGATATTGTAAAACGCTTTTGTTTGTCTATAACTTTCCTTGATATTGATCCACAGTTGTTTTTCAGCCCACGCATCAGTTGAGCTTATTTTGATGCCAAATTTCAGTGTTGTCACTTCAGTCAACAAGCACTTCTCATATTCTCCATAATTTACACAGGTATGTGTGTTCCTGTCTTTCCTTGTTTTCGTGTGATTCATTTTTAAATTGGGCTGTACAGAATACAAGTGTACATTTGTAAATGACTCCCATATTTTATGCAATTTAGCTGTTTACTTTTTAGTAATAATTTCATTTAAGGTATAATTAATAGAGAGTAAAACAGAAATATTAATACAAGGACATCCTGGTACATTTTGACAAAAGCATATGCCAGTGCACAGCAACTGAAATGATTATAAAATAAATTCCGTCATGCAGGAAAGGGAGGTCATGCTCCTTTCCAATCAATTTCTCTCCCAGAGATAAAAACTTACCTTATTTATTTATTTATTTATTTATTTATTTTGAGACAGAGTCTCAGTCTGTCACCCAGGCTGGAGTGCAGTGGCGTGATCTCAGCTCACTGCAAGCTCCGCCTCCCAGGTTCACACCGTTCTCTTGCCTCAGCCTCTGGAGTAGCTGGGACTACAGATGCCCACCACACCCGGCTAATTTTTTCTATTTTTAGTAGAGACAGGGTTTCACCATGTTAGCCACGATGGTCTCGAACTCCTGACCTCATGATCTGCCCGCCTCAGCCTCCCAAAGTTCTGGGATTACAGGCATGAGCCACAGCACCTGGCCAAAACTTTTCTTATTTTTATCACCATTGACTAGCTTGGTCTATTCCTAAACTCCATATAAATGGAATCATATAACATTTTTACTGAGTTATTTTCCTCCAAAGTTAGTATTTCTGAAGTGTATTCATATTGTTGTATCAGTAGGTCATTTTTTCTTATGACTAATTTTCCATTGCATAAATACACCACAGCTTGTTGATCCACGCTCCTGTTGATGGAGATCCACGTTACTCCTGTCTTCAACTATTAGGAATAAAGTTGTTGTGAATATTCTTGTAGAATTTTTTCTTGTGGATATATGCATTCTTTTTTAAAAAATTTTCTTTTAGGTGTAGATTAAGAGTGGAAATACTGACTCACAGTGTAGATGTGTGTGCAATGCTTGCCTGTCCCCACAAAAGCTCATGTTGAAATTTGCCAGTGTAATGGTATTGGGAGGTGGGACAGTTATGACAAGGTCATGAGGGATCTACCCTCAGAAAGAGATCAGTGCCCTTATTGTGGGAGTAAATTAGTTGTCTTGGGAATGGTTTTCTGATAAAAAGGGTGAATTCAGCCGTTTTCTCTGACTTCGGTGCTGGCTTCCCCTTCCTTCTGCCTTGGATAACAGCAGGAGGCCCTCATCAGTTATGACCCTTTGATCTTGGACTTCCCAGTCTCCAGATCTATAAGCCAAATAAATCTCTTGTCTTTATAAATTACCCAGTCTGTGGTATTTCTCTATAGCAGTAGGAAAGAGATTGAAAGAAAACATGGTGCTGAGAGTGATGCTGTTGTTATAACAAGTACCTGAAATTGTAGAAGCAGCTTTGGTTAATGGCAAATGGGCAATGGATAGAGGTTGGAAGAATTTGGAGAAGCAGACTAGCAAAAGACTTGATTGCTGAAGCAGAGCATTAAGCGCAATTCTGGTGAAGGCTTAGGGGGAAATGAGGAACAAAGTATCAGAAATTGAAGTAAATGTTATCCTTGTTGTAAGTAGCAAAAACCTTGGCAAAATTGTGTCCTGTTCTAGGACTTTATGGAATAAAATAATTATGAGCCATTAGCTAGGATATCTGCTGAAAGAAATATCTAAGGGGCTAAGCATTCAGGCTACTGTGTGACTACCTTCAGGCACCAGGAAATTTAACCCAGCTAGAAAGGAGCCAAGGGAATAGATTTTGCAAAGCAGCACAGATGGTGACCCTACCTCCCTCTGCTGTCCTGTCTCCCATAAGCCGAACTCACTCTGGAGTTAGAGAAAAGAGGAGCCAGTTAACACGATACACTGGGGTCAGCTTCTGAAGGCACGGTGGATCTGGAGGTAATAACATAAACTGTCCAGAGCACTACATATAGGATGGCATTGAGGGTGCTGAGTCCAACGCTGGGTAGGTCTGTGCTGTGAGCTGATGAGGCCCTAGAATAATTTCTGAGGAATCTGTACTCTTGATAATTTACAGACAACCCAGGTCTGCTTTGCATCTGATCAGATGGACTAAATCTTGGGAACTCTGCACCGCTGGCCACTCAGGAAAGGGGCTGGGAATGTTGCCTGGGACAAGAAAATATAGTTAGAAACATTGGTGTGAATCTAGCATCAGAGAGATGATGTGAGGACAGCCAGGAAGAGCTGGAACCTGAGGTTTAATCACAGGCTACTCACCCTTCGCTAATGGGCAGGTGTGTGAGCTCCAGCATGGAGCACTGCAGCACTAGGTGGGAGGAGGGTGAGAGGGCAATGGGGCAGCCTGCAAGCTTGGGCAGTGTAGACAGAGGAGCAACTGTGTCACCACAGGAGCTTCTGCCTTCACCTATCCCTCCAGTTCTGTAGGACAGGTAGAGTCCAGGGTCTGTGTAGCACTAGACCTAAGGAAGCTGCATGGGGAGGACACAGGACAGTGACATCACAGGATACCCCACCCATCAGGAAAATTAAGGCCCAGAACTCACTCAGCTCTTCCCCAGGAGGACCAAGCCCTGCGTCAGGTGCAGTGCTGCCTGCCCCACTGTGCCATGGGCCCCGGGCTCCTCTGCTGGGCGCTGCTTTGTCTCCTGGGAGCAGGTGAGTCCTGTGCACAGGACAGCAGCCCCATTCTCAGCTTTCCCACCCCTGTGTCCTCCACTTTACCTTGGGGAGGACCTCCAGGCTGTCTCCTGTGCTCATCCTCCATCTGCTTTTCCCACAGGCCCAGTGGACACTGGAGTCACCCAAAGTCCCACACACCTGATTAAAACAAGAGGACAGCAAGTGATTCTGAGATGCTCTCCTATATCTGGGCACAGCAGTGTGTACTGGTACCAACAGGCCCTGGGTCAGGGGCCCCAGTTTATCTTTGAGTATTATGAGAAGGAAGAGAGAGGAAGAGGCAACTTCCCTGATCGATTCTCAGGTCGCCAGTTCCCTAACTATAGCTCTGAGCTGAATGTGAGCGCCTTGTTGCTGGGGGACTCGGCCCTGTATCTCTGCGCCAGCAGCTTGGCACAGCCTGGCAGAGTCACTGACATTCTGTATGTAAACTTCCTGCCTTAGCTTTGACTTGAGAGCTACAGGCCCCACCCAGGTTTCACTCCTTCAAGGGAAGCTTTTAGTTGTTTGGAAGGCATGTCTACTGTCCTACTGAGTGCAGAGCTCTCCCAACCAACAGCGTCCAGGTTTCCTGTACCCTGAGTGCGCCCGCTTCTCTGCTGCATCCTCTTGCAGCTTGTCACTTCCTGGGTAACTTCAGAACAAGAGTGACTGCTGAGCCCTAGATGTGTGCTTGATTCTTTGTATTTGTTATGTAGCTTAAAGCTTTTCAACAGTCTTGCACATCAAATATTCTTATTCTTCCTTTACAGATGGGAGGCTCAGGGACATTGAGTCATTTTCCCCAGTGTCTCCTGGCTTGTAAGGATCAGAAGTTGGGAAACAAACTAGTCCATACATTTTCCACCTATCCCTCTGCTCCATCATTACCTTCTGTGTCCTAGTCAGTAAGTCAGAGCCCTCACACTGCCCTGATGACCACCAGGGCCATAGTAGAGGCTCAGATGTCTTAAGGAGTCACTACTGAGGCCTCTTCATTAGCAACTTTGAGGAAGCTTAAATTTCACATTTAAAAAAATTCGTTTATATGCATTCCCCATGTCTGTCCCCCGTCTGCAGCTTCCATTTTCATTTTTATGGTGTTTTTTGATGCACAACAGTTTAATTTAATGCAACAAAAATGAAAAACAATTTTGTTTGTGTGTAGACAAAAACTGCTGTCTCATATAAATGTCTAAACGTATTTTTCTCAATTTATTCTACTAAAATTTAAGTTTGGATTTTTACCACTAAGAATAAATGCACCTGAACTAGATCTCATGTGAGAAACAAGATAGAGACCTAGGAATGGGAGGGAAGCATGTATGTTCAGTGAAGAAGCAATAACCTGTTAAAAAGAGCCCTAAAGTGGACACCCGGAGCTGACGGTGGAGGGAGGTGGAGGGCAAATGATCACGAACCTTGTCAGTCTGTTGTCTTGTAGAAGAAAGGCAGCCAGGAGCAGAGACCACATGGGCAAAGGTTTATGACTGGACTGCAGGTTGAAGGTTGCAGCAGGTAGAGGGAGGAAGAGCAGGCAGAGGGCAGAGTCACTGGCTGGCAGGGGCAGTGGTATCATCAGTTAACTCTACTGACATCCAGGATTTATGTTCCCAAAGCACAACCTTAAAAACCTCCCCACAATTTCCCCATTTTTCTGTGACCTTGCTGTGACCACCAGACTCCTCAGTGGTGTGGCCTTTTGCCTCCTGGGGGCAGGCGAGTCCCCTAAAGCCTTTTCCTTGGCTCACCACATCCTAGCCTAAGCCTTTACCTCAGGTCTACATTATTGGGTCCCTCCTTGGGCACTCAACTTCCTTCTATGATAGACTTCACAGAAGCTGTGACAACCATATCCCAAAATACCAGAGAAGAAATGCAGGACATGAAGTGGCACAGAGATGCCTGAGACTGCCGTCCATGACTACATGTGTAGGTGTTAATAGGCGCTGAAACTGGTGTACAGCTGATCCATCCCAGCACTCACTATAGAGAAATCCCTGAGGGTCTGTGCCTTTCTCTCAAAGCCAAATACATGGCCTTAGTGTCAGACAGCCTCTCCCAGACCTCTGTGCCCTCTTGCACCAGAAGTCACCCCACAGCCACCTTCCTCTACACACAAAGTTCAGTGAAAAATATAGGTGGCCTTGTCTTCACAAGACCGTGATTTGGGCAGTAGATAATGTCCCATAGGAGTCTCCCGAACACTGCCTCAGAAGTCTTCCTCAGTTGCTCTCAGAAAGGAAAGTTCATTTGAAATTGTATATTGCAGACAGTATTCACAACACAGGTACATTCTTTTCCTTGTCGGCCTTCACAACTCCATCGTTCCCACACCATGCTCATGTCAGTCCTCAGCCTCCTCCATGTGATGTCTGCTCCCGGCTGTCCTCTCCCTTTCTCTGCACCCTTATCTCCAGTCAACCTTAGAAGTGTCAGTTCAGGCCATTTCTCATGTGTTGTGCTCCTCCCACCAAAGGCCTTTCCACTCCACGCTGTATCCTCTGGGTCAACACAAGTCTCTTCTTTTTTGTTCTGGCTCCAAATCTCGGTTTTATTACCACCATCTTTAGGAAGACACTCCTTCAACAGTTTTTCTAGGCTGCACCTCCTTATTATAAATGCTCACAGCTTATAATATGCATTAGTAGTCATAGATTTAACACCATTGTCATTTTCCATGACTTTGGGTGACTAATGGATACTTCTCTTGCGCTCTAGACTGTAAAACTCATCATTTCAGAAATTGTGGATGTTTTGTTCCCCATTTTATTGTCAATACCAACAGCAGTTCCAGGTGCCAGTGGCCAATCTTGAAAAAATAAAGAATGGATAGTGAAAGGCCCTCTTGGTTCCCTCTTAGACTGTTTCAGAAGTCTGGACGCATTAAATGGGAATCTCTATCCCTTCATCTCCTAGGATCTAATGAGTCCTGGAAACATGAGAAATCCCTGTCATGGATGAGTCACTGGATCCCAAGCCTTTCTACACGACTGAACTTCCTATCAGGAGGCCCATCACCCTCCTGGCCTGTTTCCTTCTTCAATCTCCTTCCCTCACAGGTCTCTTGGATTTCAGAGTCTCACAGACACAGGGCACCTAATCATCGGCAGAGTGATCTGAAATATAATGTTAAACACTGGCATTAAAAGGTGACGGAGGCCGGGTCCAGGGGCTCACACCTGTAATCCCAGTACTTTGGGAGGGCAAGGCAGGCGGGCCACGAGGTCAGGAGATCGAGAACATCCTGGCTAACATGATGAGATGAAACTCCATCCCTGCGAAAAAAAAAAACAAAACTAAGTTAGCTGGGCGAGGTGGCGGGTGCCTATATTTCCAGCTACCCAGGAGGCTGAGACAGGAGAATGGCGTGAACCCACGAGGTGGAGCTCATAGTGAGCCAAAATTGCAACAGTGCACTCCAGCCTGGGGGACAGTGAGACTCCGTCTCAAAAACAAAACAAAACAAGAAAAAACAGGTTATGGAGAAGAAAACAAATGGCTTTTCCATTCTCTTAGGAAGAGTTTTCCCAAGGCCCAAATATCTCTGTGGGTAGCTTTGAGGCCATGGTGCCTGATACACTGAACTATGTCATTGGTGTCCATTTCCATGAATTGGTTGGCAACACCAGAGACACACAGCTCATGGTTACCAGCTTCCTCCAGACCACACATGATTTTGGTGCAGGGTGCTGAGCAGAGACCTTTGCTTGTTCCTTACTTTTCCCAGACAGGAAAGGCTGACTGTGAGGCAGAGGCTCCATTTTCAGAGCAGGGCTGTGTGTTAGTCTCTGAAGAATTGTGAGAGTCATTCTGGGTAGAAATAATCAAATATACAATCATTAGGGATGCTCCACGGAAAGACCGATGTCCTACTTTTGCAGGAATTATTTGCATCTATGCTTTAAAGATGAATGCAGTTTTATCTCTTTAGGCAGGAAAGACCAAAAATAGACTAGCTATTTTAAATAATTGAACCTTAAACAGACCAAAGTCAGAACATCTTCCCTAGGGACAGCATTTTCTTCCACCCACTCGCTAAAGCTGTATTTGAGAAAGCTGTGTGCTGTTGATAAATGCTGGAATATCATTACAATTGACATCGTAATAATACTGCTACTTGGATCAGAAACAAAGAGCATTTCCAAAGCTTGAAAAATGTAAAACTGGAAACAAGCTCTTACTGAGTTTGGAAATGCAGGCACTGGAGGGTGCTCATTTCTCTTCCTTTTCAAATCAGGGGGCTATTCAAATCCTGTTCTAGAACAAGGAGCGAGATCCTCCACTTCCCCGTGGTGATTAGGCTTTCAGAGGTAGAAGCCTTATTAGTTCATAATCAACACAAACTGACCTCACCATCAAATGTGTCGACCCCGATGCTCACCCTCCTCAGCAGTCAGAGACTGGCTGTGTTCACCAGGAACTTGTACGCTTTTATGGAGCACACTTTATCCACAGTTTATTACAAAAAATAAATGGGCCTTTATGGGGGTTTCATAAACAGAAGCTTTCTGTGCTTTGCCCATTTAGACACTACAAATTCTGATGCCTCATGAAAGGTATAAACTTAAAGCTTGCGTGTGGTTAAGATTTTCTAATAACCAAATTCAATTATATATATATGTATATATATTAAAAATGTCAATAATGCTCTCAAATCCAATCCCACCTTCCATGGGTAACCAATATTAACGCTCTGGTATGCTGCTTTTCACCCCTTTTTTCTGTGTTCATGCATTCCTTTCTACCCAAGTACACCTACAGAAAATGGGTTCACCTGTACTCTTTACCTGCCACATGCACACTCTTTTCTGTTAACATACCTTGATCTTTATTGTTGCAGATTTTTCAATACAGATCTAACTTGCTACTATTAGCTGCTTCATATGGCACAACGAGGGTAGACAGGTACACTTGTGTTCTGTTATCTGATTCCTAAATTCTGCTAGATCTTTTCTAAAGTGACTGAACGGCCTCTTTTGGCTTCCAAGTTCTCTTCACCCCAGCACCCAGTTGATGATTCCAGCTTTTCCATCACTCATAGTCCTAGCAAGTGTGAGAGCCCCACTGGTTTCTCCTGCATGAGGGAGGGATAAAAGGATAGACATTTATCAAACCTACCAGAGACTACACAGTATCTCAGTTAATCCTCATAAAGCATTGAGGGGAATGTTAGTCTTGTTTTGTAGATGAGTCTAAGTGAGGCTAAAGTCCAGGAACGGTAATGAATGGCCTTGCCCATGGTCTCCAAGCTAATAAATGTTGGAGCCAGATGAAGCCAGCTAGCTTCTGTATGGAACTGATAGAGGGGTCACTGGAGTTTGAGGGAGGGGAAGTCTAGAACCATCTGGGGCTGTCCTCAGATCAGACACCAGGGTTAGGAGAGTCTGTGTACCCTAAAGCACGGCAGGTACAAGTATCGTGGTGTTGGCACTGGGCAGGTACTAGAGTGGGTAAGTGGTTAGTGGCCTGGAACCAGAAGATCTGAGCTTTGAGAAAATTATTCCCATCACAAGACGTAGCAGAGACACTGATGTGGACATACTAGGCCAGGGAGCTCTGTGAGGAGCTGTTGTTAACATGAGCGAGGGAGGAGAAGCAACTAAGTGGTCACTTCCTTTACGTGAAATGTAGAGGAAAACCATGTTAAGTAGAATCCCATCTGATTTTCATCAGTTTTGCTTTGTAAGCAGTTGGGAGGTGGGATAATTTATTTTTGAGTTTAAGTGAACACCTGTATGGCTCCTTTACCTTATGAAGGCTGGTGGGGAAGGGAAAAATGGCACGGCCAATGGAGTCACAGTTTGCTTAGTAAATAACCCAGTTCAAAGAGAGACTCTCATGGGCCAGAAATTGGTAAAGCTTTCTGGATTCTAAAATTAGGGGGATCTTATTTTCTTTGAATCAGCAGAGAAGGAAGGAAAGGCAGTGGGGAGGGACAGTTGGGAATACGGAATGTCAAAGACAAAGGACACGTAATTCCAAATTCGAAGCTGTGAAGCTGTGAAGCTGTGAAGCTGTGATGCAAACTTCTGCTTCTCCTAATGGATTTTCACGTCTCAGCACAGATGCACACCTGAGGGAGTAATTTCTTTGGAAATGAAGGACAAACAGCTGTGTTCAATATTAATAACAACTCCACCTTACAAAGCACACCTGGAAATGGAAACAAGATTTTTTTAAGGCCTTTTCTACTCTAAGAGTCTCTAAGTTGGTGGCCAGGTGAGAGATGAGGAAGGGGTGGGGATGTTGTTCCTCAGGCCAAGAGTACCGTGAAGCATATAGTTCTGAGAGTGCATCAGAGCCCTAAGAAGAATAATGCCCTTTACGTTGTTTTGCCTTCTGCCATCCCAATCCCACCCCACCCATAATTAAGCAGCCACGGAAATGAGGGGAGCCAGAAGGAATCAAACTCTGCTGCTTGGTACAGTAGACAGAGGGACCTGGGGAAGGGTGTTGGCTGGGCCTAGGAGAAGATGATGAGCTCAGAAAATAGACAGCAGAAACCCCAGGGGAAACCTTGTGAAACCCTGGAGGAATCAGAAGACATGTTATTAGAGCTCCTTTTTATTTATTAGTAAATTTTATTCATTACTAAGTAAATGGCAGGAATCCTGCACAAAGGGATATGCCCTATGAAACATGACATCTCAAATAAAAACAGAGCATTCTTCCTCACCCTAAAGTCACCCCTCTCTCCCCAAGTCCCTCACGCATCAGGCCACCTTTGTGCCCATAAGTCATGGGCAGTGCTGGGTGGTCATCATCATCCACACAGAGAGGGCAGTCAGCAGCGTGAGGTGGTTCTGCCTGCTATGGTCTCACCCCAGACATGGAAATGAAGGGCCCTGGGTGGAGCTGAAGGTGCTCAGCTGGGTTTCTCAGGAGTCCCATCTGTCAGTGAGTTGACAAGAAACAGAGCAAAACGACTCCTCCAATGTTGATGAGCCTGCCCCTGGGATTTGGAAACTTGCTAACAGAGAAAACCAATATAGACAAAGGATTTTAATCAGGATTATGGTCAATTAAGCAAATTAGAAAAGGATACTTGAAGGAGTATTTGGGACACAGGAATCAAAAACACCAGGAAGACATGAGGAGTTTCCCTAAGACTCTAGACTACAGCACTATGTAGATAACTAACACCAGACTATTAAGTATATTATTGAAGAAATAAAATTTACATTGAGTTACAAACTGTTTAGAAAAGGTCATGAAAATCTTGGACACCTGTTTCAATTCAGACAAATGTGTCCTTCGCATTCTCAGCTCTTCATTGGTGCATTTATCTTGAATTTGACCATCTGGGGAATGGGCGTGGCCTCTCCTGACAGGAAGGCTCTGGGGCCCAGGCAGGGAGAATGACGTGTCAGAATGATTCCCTTGACAGTCCTGGTACCCTTTCACCAATGCACAGACCCAGAAGACCCCTCCATCCTGCAGCACCTGCCATGAGCATCGGGCTCCTGTGCTGTGCGGCCTTTTCTCTCCTGTGGGCAGGTGGGTCCGGGGCAGGGACCCTTGCATGGATTTCAAGGCCCAGCGCCTTCCCTTTGGAGGTGCAGCAGCAGCTTTGTTCCTCTCTGCAGGTCCAGGGAATGCTGATGTCACTCAGACACCAAAATTCCAGGTCCTGAAGACAGGACAGAGCCTGACACTGCAGTGTGCCCAGGATATGAACCATAACTACATGTACTGGTATCGACAAGACCCAGGCATGGGGCTGAGGCTGATTCATTACTCAGTTGGTGCTGGTATCACTGACAAAGGAGAAGTCCCCAATGGCTACAATGTCTTCAGATTAAACACAGAAGATTTCCCACTCAGGCTGGAGTCCGCGGCTCTCTCCCAGACATCTGTGTACTTCTGTGCCAGCAGTGACACCACAGTGCTGCACGGCCGTCTCCTCTCTGCACATAAAGTCAGGTAGGCTCTTCCCTCCTCCCCCACCCAAGACTCAGGGATGCCCTGGGCAGAGTTCTCTGCACCACGAACCTTGGTACCCCGACTGGCCCCAAGTGGCCCAGACATTATGAGCCTTGCTCTGTGCCAGGCGCCTCTGCAGGCAGTCTCAGCCAGGACTGGACTGATCCCAGGTCCTCATAAGTCTCCTTTGTTGCTCTGTCTGTCCTTTTCTCAGAGCTCTCCTTTTGGGGTAGGGCCAGGGCTTCCCCAGCTCCTACTTTTCTACCCATCATACTGAGTCCGAGGCCCCCAGCGTGGAACATGGATTTGTAGTTCACATCCATCTAGACTCCTGTCTCTCCCTGGTGACCATGTTGCTTCCTTTCGCTTGGGTTTCCCCCAGCCCCTACCCTCATATGGTCTCTCCTGTGGCCCACCTTTCCCATCTGGGCAGTCATCCTCCACGGCCCTGCTGGATTTTTCCTCTCCTCACCTCCCCGTCCCTCTCTACTGCAGCCATGAGGGGAGTCCCTCTTCTGTGCCTCCTTCCTTCCCATCGCAGAGATTTCAAAGGCCATTTTCTCTGCCCTGGGCTGGAGCCTCCCTTCCTCTAGTGGCCAGCTCCTGCCTGTGCTTCAGATCTCAGCATAATCAGCCCTCCTGTGGGAAGCACTCCCTCTCCTCCCAGCTGAGATCAACTTCTCTCATAAGCTCTCATAGAATCATATGTCTGTTAGTAACCATTGGGCTTTCTCAGATACTTGTCTGATTATTTTTGTGCTCCACCCATTTTTCTTTTTCTTTTTTTTCTTTTTGAGACACAGTCTCACTCTGTCATCAGGCTGGAGTGCAGTGGCATGATCGGCTCACTGCAACCTCCGACTCTGGTTCTAGCGATTCTCGTGCCTCAGCCTCCCGAGTAGCTGGGATTACAGGCATACACCACCACAATCAGCTAATTCGTTTTTGTGTTTTTGTAGAGATCGGATTCACCATGTTGGACAGGATGGTCTCCATCTCCCGCCCCCATGATCTGCCTATCTTGGCCTCCCAAGGTGCTAGGATACAGGCATAAGCCACCACACCTGGCCTCTCCACCCAATTTTTAAGCCCATAAGAGCTAAGGCTGTGCCTGCTGCATTTACCAACATCGATGCCTGGCGTGTAGGGAGACTCATTTCACAGAGAATGGATGAGTGAATGAGAGGCCGAGTGAGTGATGAGCGGGTGGACGAAACAATGCTAGGAACACATTACATCTACTGTAACCTGGCAGAGATCTAGCATTAAGTATAAGAAAGCCCACCCCTTTGATTGCTGGGCCCAGGTCGGTCTTGGAAATTGATGGGGAATCACTATCCTGGCGACCACACCTGGGTCAAGGCTTCCTCTTGTGGCTGCAGCACCTGACCTCCTCCAGGTCTCTGTGCTCTCCTTCAGGGTCTTTTCCCACAACAAATCTAGACAGATCAGAGATCCACTTCTAGAATTCTATGCTTAAAGGTTGTTCCTTGAAAGCACTTCTGGTAAGAAAATCTGCATTAGGTTTGCATCAATAAAACAGGGCCACTACAAATTTGGCATTGTAATGGATTTATGATCAGAATTACATGATATGCATATGTGGCAGGAGCTGAGGAAAACAGGGTCTGGAGGAGAGAAATAAGAAGGTGAGGGAGCCAGTCAGTAACCAGGGATCCTGGATATCTGGGCAGGACACACTGGAGTGGCAGGGACATGGGAGTATCAGAGCATGCCAGGCCATGCAAGTGGGACCTTGAGCCAGGAGCACAGGAAAAGGCCAAGGAGACCTGCTTCTGGGGAAGCTGTTCTCTCTCTATGGGGGCCACTCCTGCAGGTGCACTGCCAAACACTGGGGGCAGCCTGGCTGCTGTTGGCCAACATTTGGGAAGATGAACTGGACACAGGGTACAGAAGGAACAGGTCTTCCTAGGTCTGTTGGATGCCTCTG